TGTGCACGTACACGTGCGTGCGTGCGTGCGTGTGTACCTACACGTGCGTGCGTGTGTACCTACACGTGCGTGCATGCGTGCGTATGCACGTACACGTGCGTGCATGCGTGCCTGCGTGCGTGCGTGTGACTGAGGCCGTTGGCTCAGCAGATAGTTCACCGTCTGCGGCGGGCTTCACGTAACCCGCACAGCTCGCTTCAGTTTTCAGCCTCGCGAGACCAAAATTATCAAACACGACCGATATTTTCCTCACCGCCTCGCGAGACCGAAAACTCACATAAATCGACCGCGCACACGGTGAGATTCCTGCTGAGCACGAACCCTGAGTTTCATGCTTAGCACGAATCTCACCGTGTGCGCGGTCGATTTATGTGAGTTTTCGGTCTCGCGAGGCGGTGAAGAAAATATCGGTCGTGTTTGATAATTTTGGTCTCGCGAGGCTGTAAACTCAGCGTGTGCGGGTTACGTGAAGCCCGCCGCAGACGGTGAACTATCTGCTGAGCTAACGGCCTCAGTCACACGCACGCAGGCACGCAGGCACGCACGCACGCACGTGTACGTGCACACGCACGCAGGTACGCACGTGTAGGTACACACGCACGCACGTGTAGGTACACACGCACGCACGCACGCACGTGTACGTGCACAATCACAGAATCTACAGAAAAATAGTTTTCTGCTGTTCAGTGGGTGCCGACATTTTAAATCTCATGCCCTATTCCTGCGCTTTCATTGGTCGGTAAATATTTGTGGCTGAGCTGATAGCTCACGGAGCCCGCACACGCTGAGTTTCTGGCCTCAAACACGATAGATATCGGTCTCACAGCCACGCGAGGCCAAAAATCGTGCAGAATCTAGGCGCACACGCTGAGCTATCTGCTGAGCCAACGGCCTCTCGAGGCCGTTGGCTCAGCAGATAGTTCACCGTGTGCGGCGGGCTTGAGACTCCTGCTCGCACTCACTCAGTGGCGGCGCATTTTGATCAGTCACACGTCCGAGCATGCGTGTGTGCGTGTCTGCGAGCCTGACTGCGTGCGTGCCACCGAGCGTGCGTGCGTGCGTGCGTGCCAGCGTGCGTTCGTGCGATCCTTATATTAGGTGAAAACGTGCAAGCGTGCGTGCGTGCGAGTCTGTGTACGTCACGCAAGCGCGCGTGCGTGCATGGGAAGGGGCGTGGCTGCGACCGAAGTGAATTAATGTTCAGAGCGGATTTTGCCATGCACATCTTCCGGGCATACTCCTTCCTAGGGCGGATTTTACCATGCTTATCTCTCCCAGGCATTGGCCTAGTTTGGCCGAAAAAAAAGTTATTGGCTGGCAACGTGACCAGCGACGCAAACGTTAGTACCACATGTACATTAGTATACAAGAAAAGGATTGTTTGTGGGGGGGATGCTGCGGTCGAAGTGAAACACTTTAATAGGATTTTTCCATGCACCTATGTTCTGGACATACCCCTTTTGAGCGCGTGAGATTGGCAGAAAAAATTATCTTGGCTAGCAACGCGAACAGTGACGCGAGTGCAGAATGATCTCACGTACATAGTCATAAGAAAAGGGTTGTGACGCGATGCTGCGGCGAAGGTGAATTGTTTAGATAAGATTTTACAATGCACATCTTTCCCGGGCATACCCTTGCCCATGTTGAGCTCGTCGATTTGGCCGGAAGAACTTATCTTGCCTGAAAATGCGACCAGCGGCGGAGGCGCTATCGCTATGTACGCCTACATAGGCATAGGGTAATATGGGATTGTGGCGCGACGCTGAGACGAAAGTAAATTTAGGATGCAAGAGAGCGATTTAGAGCAGAGATTTTACCATGAACATCTCTACCGGACATGCCCCTGCCTATTTTGATGGCGTGATGATTCGTTTTGCCGAAAGAAATGATCATGGCGACTGGCGTACTATACAACGCCACCAGCGACGGGAGCGCTAAACCTATGTACAGAAGCATAGGGTAAGGATTGTGGCGCGATGCTGCGCCGAACGCGAATTCTTTAGAGCGGATTTCACCATGAACATCTCGGCCGGACATGCCCGTATATAGAACATAATATTATTTCATCATACATATTAATAATATTATGTCCTATATACAGCATCTTACAAAATGTAATGACATTTGAACCTATCACAAATTATCACGACGGTATTTGGCGACATTGCTATTATGTCCTGATATGCAGTACGTCTTGATGTAATATCAATTTAGATTGTTAGTGTGTAACTGTAAGTGTAACTAGATCATATGATCATTCGTATGATTTAACTGAATCTAATAAAACGGGGATAAATGACCAAGATGATAACTCGATACCAGACATAGGTAAACTAAGGCATAAAAATGTCGAATATTTATGTTTCCGGCGAGTCCCTGCTTTCTATTTCATGTCCTGACAATATGCAGCCAGCTAGCCTATAGGCACCTAACAGGTACTCATTCCAGCAACTGGGAACATAATGTTATAATTAATATAATATAAATAATCACAATATAATTATATTCCCTTTTTGTTAACAGATTTTGCAACACAACACATTTACAATCATGGATTTATTATCCAGTCTAACCAGGACTGGATTAATTAGTATACAGAATTCACAGTAGTATAATCAAGAGCTTGTACTTGTAGATAAAAGTACAATCAAATATATAATTAAAACACATGTAATATTAGTACGATCAGTCGATCACACTTGCTATCGCCAGGTGCTGGCATGTAAAAAACAACGTGCGCCACGGCTCCACATCCTTGGCCGCTATCTAGTCACAATCCCGGGGGGGGGGCACTCCCTACAAAATAGGGTAGGTATGTGCCACCTGAGATATGAAATTGGGGGGCTCCGGTGCTAACAGCACATCAAAAATGTCAATCGGAACGTGCGGAAAAACGTAGGTCATATGCGCAAAGTCGGGAAATAAAGGGGACCGTCTCCAGAACGGGAAATGTGAAAAAAAAGGTCTCCAGTGCAGAAAAAAAGTAGGACCTATGCTCCGGGACGGGAAATATGTGAAAAGGGGATCTCCGGTGCGAAAAAAGTCGGATCTATGCTCATGCAAGGACGGGAAATATGTGAAAAAGGGGTCTCCGGTGCGGGAATTTTGAGGTGAAAAGGTACGTACTTGTAATTATTAAAGTGAACGGTGCAAGTATAAGAAACATCAATCGATTACAAGAATATGCATCTAACGTTAATGGTTAAATAACTAGTTAACAGAGAACAGTAACTGATATTTAATATACATATGATGACGGAAACCAATACATTACATAGAAAAGTAATAATCAAATATGCTACACAGTAAAATATACCAATGGAATTAAAGATGTGAGGTGATCAGAATTTGCAACTTCGCTTCTTTGAAAAGATATTTGGGCAGCAGTCCTACATTTTCTTTGAACAATTTAGATTTGCCCACTGGATCATGAATGATATGTTTCAGTCCACTACAAAATCTACAAACACCTGACCTATAAATTCATATATAATAATATGCATATTAGTGCAAACATGATAGGGAAATTCATGCAGTTTCAAATTTAATATCCCCTCGAGTCGAATTTACAGGTTACAATAAGCATCAGAATTATTCACAGTATGATCTATTTTATTGTAGAGCTAGAAAATACAGAAAAAATTACTCAATCACGGACATGAAAATTTCCAACAACACATCTACGTAACGAATACTTACACCTGCGGCCCATTATCAGAAACAAAATTAGCATTAACATTAACCTTTTCTCACCCACAGTTGAGTGGTCTGGTAAGAAGGTCCGGTCTACGAGAAAAAGTTCATGTTAAGAGTAATTTTGTTTTTGACAACGTGCCCAGGGTCTGTTCACGCTGCTCTCTATCTACATCTATGCCACATATCAACAACGGACTGGGGCTAATGTTAAAACTACTCATGACTGCTATGACTTGGTAGGGTTGTTGGCTTGTGCCTCTGCTGTGCTGGCCTTGCTTGTGCTGTAATATAGGGTGGCAGTGGAGTTTGCTTTAATCCAGGGATGTTGCAGCACATCCCCAAGTGGAAGCCTCATGGATGGGTTGTGTCTCAGTAGCTGCATCAGATAGACAAGTACAAAAAACATTTTCTACGTGAACGCTACGTGATGATATAGGAGAGATAGGTGAGATGTTCACTACAACGCTCGAAATATTGATTGTTTTGAATGTGTTACGTATGCTATGAGCCTTAAACAGTTATATAATAAATGCCGCTATGGTAAGACAAGCCTTAAAGGCATACTAGGCCCATTGATTATGCAATGTTGACGAATGCTAGAGTAACTGGCACCTTGTGTAGTTAATAAATACATAACCTTACATCCAAACGCGTATTAGTTTGCCTAATATCACTGCTGGTTACTAAGAAATGTCTAATTGAAATCCACAGTCCAAGAAATCAGTTGTTTACAGTTTCAAACCGCTGCCGGCGAAGCGGGTGTGATACAGATTTATAGTGCACCGAACATTTTCGCACGCATGCTCGGCCGTACGCAATGCTATCATCAGTGATTTCGTAAACACGGACGCTCGTGATAAGGAACTTTTTGTCAGGGCTGTCCATGACAATGTGCGTCCGTGATTAGTACGTGTGTTTTACTCCATTTCCATGTTTAGTCCGTGGCCATGGTTACATCGCTGACACCTCCATTTCATCTGGCCTCCAAAACATACGGGGCCCCACAAATGTTTACGTCATCACTTGACTGCTGGATACATTTACGGCACGTAAATGATATTGGACAAACTAATACGCGTTTCGCTATAAGGTTACGTACTTATTAACTACACAAGGTGCCAGCTACTCTAGCATTCGTCAACATTGTATAATCAATGGGCCTAGTATGCCTTTAAGCTGGATTAGCGATATTTCTAGACGGAAAACTTCAACGTTTATGATAACACAACGTGCAATGCATTTGATGAGCTACGGATTGATTAACAATGTTTAAAAAAAAGGAATCGTCTACAGACACCTGCAGCAGACTGTAACGCGTATACTAACCTAATGCGTATATGGATGTTCAGGTTATCAAGCCATCAGCCCACCATACATACCTGGGATACTAGGTCTTTGGCTCCATCTGATACGTGTGAGGGGAAACGTAAATCAACTTTGGTGATGCGTCGGTATGTCTCAGAATGACCTTGGGCTTCAAATGGGGGCTTGCCTACCAGGAACTCATAGCAGAGAATACCCAGGCTCCACAGGTCTACTTTGTCATCATGCGCGCGCCCCTCAATCATCTCCGGGGGCAGATAATCCAGTGTTCCGCACAACGTTGTTCTTCTGCAATTCCACCATACACTCATATACAGGAGTCAAAGTCTAGAGTGAAAAAGACAACTTTGCAACCAAATGCTGGCATAACAATTTGAGCGAGAGATACAGGGCCCAAAAGGTCCTTAAAAAACTCTGGTGTTCAAACATGATATTGGACAAGGTTTTTGGTGTTTTCAAAGACACACTGAATTACTCTTTAATATACAACGTTACTGCAGTAACATTTTGCAAGAAATACGTTTCTAATGCAAACTTCCAAAATGTGGACCATGTTTATGCTTGGATGGCTATTACATAATTTAACAGATAATCCTTCTGGTCAAAATTACTACAAACATGATTATGGACTAATGTAAAGTAAAACCATTTAAAAAATCATATGACTACTTAATGAAGTAACACAGCAATATGCAAATACTAACGGGCAAAGGTTCAGAATTAAAATTATTTGCAGGGAGACGGAGAGCCACTATTGCGAGTGGGACGCTCTTCATTATCATTGTTGGCTTTGGGTGATTCATGCATTGACCTGAATGCCAAAATGTTATCAAACGTTGATAGACGTTTAAGGGCAATAATCTCTTAATTAAGCCTATCAGATGCTAGACTATACCTGGATGATGGGGCGTGAACAGACCAGCCAAAATCAGCAATTTTCAGATCTCCCGTCAGACCCAGTAGCAAGTTTTCTGGCTTGATGTCACGATGGATCACCTTCTTAGAGTGACAGTACATCAGTGCATCTGTCAGCTGGGCTATCCACTGTAACAGAAACATGCATTCACACATTTTAAAATTAAATCGCAAGCATCTTGTACCGTTATATTACATAAGTATCACCAAATATATCAGTTCTCCCTAAGATATCACATGCCTTCAAAGCTGAAGCTAATTTGCAATATATCCTGCATACCTTCGTATACGGGCACGCGCGCGCGCGCGTGTGTGTGTGTGTGTGTGTGTGTGTGTGTGTGTGTGTGTGCATGTGTGCGTGTGTGGTGTGTGAAGGTGTATATATGTGTTTGTGTGTGTGTGTGTGTTTGCATGTGTGTGTGTGTCTGGTTGTTCTAACAGGCTTTGAATTGCTTTGAACAATTTGCTTATTGAAAAGGCTGCCTATTAGATATGGTTTCATACACAGATGTCATGAAAAATACATACAGTTGCAGAACGCTTGTCATCAAAGCGGACAGCTTTCTGAAGCTCCTTGTATAACTCCCCACGAGGCGCATATTCCAAGATCAGGTAGACTCTAGTCTCATCATAGAAGTAGCCATACAGACGTAGTATATGCGGATGCCTTTATGAAAAATAAATCGTGCAACAAATAAATGTCGATTTTTCTACATTTGCTGGTAGAGTGCTTGATGTTGTCCGAAATGTGCAACGATGTTTTAGAAGAAACTCAAAAGAACTTCTGGAAAAGCCTGTCTCATGTCAAGGCAGACAAGAACATAATCATTATCTGCATATATATAAAGGGTAGGTATACAGTGGTCCTAAACAAGGATAGTTACAACAACAGGTGTCACTAATGACAAAGTGTGCATAAAAGTCATATCAGAACTACAACTAAAAATAGTATAGCATATAATAGCAAAAAAGTATATAAAAAACAACTTTAAATCACCACTAGATTATAAACAAAAAGGTATCCCAACAGCAGGGGGCTTTATATTACCAAAAATAATCATGATAATTTTTCACAACCTTCCGGGGAAAGAAAATGAAATAAAATTCAAGGACATTATGAACCCTGCGTAACAATATTTACCCAAAATATACTTGTGATGCAGAAATTTAAAGGCTTAATTAATACACAAAAGACGCATGCACAGTTAATGACATGGTAAATTTGTCTTAGAGATGCTTTACCTAAGATGAGACTGAATCTCTATTTCTCTTCTCAGCTGGTGTTCCACTTGATTTTTCTGTAGCTGGGACTTGAAAAGAACCTAAGCGAATAAAAAGAAACTCCATTTTTAAAATGTTTTGAGTAGAAGCTAGCCACTGCTGCCATTAAAATGAAGTGGCCATGGGTAGCATAAAAGAACATTATAACCTCCTATAATTTAATAGTTAGTACTGACAAAAACGCAAATAACTACTATCAGGGGTGAATATAATGACACATATTGACATTTGTCATAAATAATGCCATGTCATTATTCACCCCTGATATTATTATCTAGATATGGAAAAAAAAACACCAATATAGTCCAGGCAGGGGCAACTATACATGTACTTACGCACGAAGGGTCGTTGTCGTATCATTTACTACATATATGTACCCGAGGTAGTTTTAGGTTGTTTAGTATTATGTTTATATTTTTATATGAGGTATATGTTTAGGGTTAGGGTTAGGGTTAGGGTACACTTCTGTAGTACAAGTCTGGTACACTTTGTGTATACATATATACCTCGGGTACATATATGTAGTACCTGATACGACAACGACCCCTTCTACTGTACTTACCTTAAGGGCAACAATGAATTTGCTGTTTTTTTCTCTTGCTAGGTAGACATTTCCAAACTTTCCTTTTCCAAGAGGCCGGCCAATGTCAAAATTATCCAGTGACCACCTTTTCCTAAATTTAAAAGAATGGCACATTGTACTTAACTTAGTTCTGGATGTCATGTTAATCGTAGACCTTTTCTAAATCTGCCTTCTACATCAAGCAAGTTCTCTATTAGTCACAGGATACATCCAAGAGGATGGGAGATTATATATGATACACAGGTTGTACCAAGCAGATTGGGCATTTAACGCATGTTGGATCTAACGAGCTAGGCTTCAAAGCTGAGGCTATAATTTGCAAGGTCTCATAAATCCTCCGACATTAGTCCAATTTTCACCCCATTAACTTACACCCCCTCCAACATCTATCCATAAACGACATGCTTTCTGAAATTCCCAGCAAAATTCATAAACATAATAATTATACTAAATTCATGAAATAAAGAGCCATACTTTGATTTCTTTGGTTCAGTTGTATTTGTCTTTCCATGCTGACTAGTTTTGCTTGGCATTTCTACAGTGGTGACACTTTGACTACCTTGTGGAGAGCTGGTATTAGAATTTTGAGCTTTTAAAATCTGTTGCGGCGGCTCCATGTTTTTGGAAGTAGCGTCCAGTAAGCTTTCTTGATCCTAGAACACATAGAAGTTACACACAACATGGTACAGACAATGTTGCAGTACAAATCAATTAGTACATCATAGTAGCGAATCTTGGCACTATAACACTTACACGCATGTACATGCAATAATTTCATGCCCTGCGTAATCTGCAACTTTTCTAATTCATACAGGGGTCACTGAGGGGACGGCCAAGAGGTAACTATCTCTACTTCTTCATCTTCATACATGTATACATGTGTAGCACTAGCAAATGTAGGGTGTGCAGGAAAGGCTGTGGGTATAGGGTTAACTTATGAGACGTCACGAGCCCCCTTGCCTAGGTGATAAATATAAAGTGCACGATACATGTGGGGCCTGTTTTCTACTTTTTCTTGAGAGAAGGGAGCAAGGCCACGGGGATTTCTTTGAGTGTGGGAGTAGGCGAGCAAAGTATCTGGCGTGTAAACAGTTTTATCGTTACCATGTCAGGGTTCTCCAAGCTTTTTTATTATATGTTTATGACATGGTAAATTTGTCTTAGAGATGCTTTACCTAAGATGAGACTGAATCTCTATTTCTCTTCTCAGCTGGTGTTCCACTTGATTTTTCTGTAGCTGGGACTTGAAAAGAACCTAAGCGAATAAAAAGAAACTCCATTTTTAAAATGTTTTGAGTAGAACTTGAAGCTATAGCCACTGCTGCCATTAAAATGAAGTGGCCATGGGTAGCATAAAAGAACATTATAACCTCCTATTTAATAGTTAGTACTGACAAAAACGCAAATAACTACTATCAGGGGTGAATATTATGACACATATTGACGTTTGTCATAATTAATGCCATGTCATTATTCACCCCTGATATTATTATCTAGATATGGAAAAAAAACACCAATATAGTCCAGGCAGGGGCAACTATACATGTACTTACGCACGAAGGGTCGTTGTCGTATCATGTACTACATATATGTACCCGAGGTAGTTTTAGGTTGTTTAGTATTATGTTTATATTTTTACATGAGGTATATGTTTAGGGTTAGGGTTAGGGTTAGGGTACACTTCTGTAGTACAAGTCTGGTACACTTTGTGTACATACATATATACCTCGGGTACATATATGTAGTACCTGATACGACAACGACCCCTTCTACTGTACTTACCTTAAGGGCAACAATGAATTTGCTGTTTTTTTCTCTTGCTAGGTAGACATTTCCAAACTTTCCTTTTCCAAGAGGCCGGCCAATGTCAAAATTATCCAGTGACCACCTTTTCCTAAATTTAAAAGAATGGCACATTGTACTTAACTTAGTTCTGGATGTCATGTTAATCGTAGACCTTTTCTAAATCTGCCTTCTACATCAAGCAAGTTCTCTATTAGTCACAGGATACATCCAAGAGGATAGGAGATTATATATATGATACACAGGTTGTACCAAGCAGATTGGGCATTTAACGCATGCTGGATCTAACGAGGCTTCAAAGCTGAGGCTATAATTTGCAAGGTCTCATAAATCCTCCGACATTAGTCCAATTTTCACCCCATTAACTTACACCCCCTCCAACATCTATCCATAAACGACATGCCTTCTGAAATTCCCAGCAAAATTCATAAACATAATAATTATACTAAATTCATGAAATAAAGAGCCATACTTTGATTTCTTTGGTTCAGTTGTATTTGTCTTTCCATGCTGACTAGTTTTGCTTGGCATTTCTACAGTGGTGACACTTTGACTACCTTGTGGAGAGCTGGTATTAGAATTTTGAGCTTTTAAAATCTGTTGCGGCGGCTCCATGTTTTTGGAAGTAGCGTCCAGTAAGCTTTCTTGATCCTAGAACACATAGAAGTTACACACAACATGGTACAGACAATGTTGCAGTACAAATCAATTAGTACATTATAGTAGCGAATCTTGGCACTATAACACTTACACGCATGTACATGCAATAATTTCATGCCCTGCGAATCTGCAACTTTTCTAATTCATACAGGGGTCACTGAGGGGACGGCCAAGAGGTAACTATCTCTACTTCTTCATCTTCATACATGTATACATGTGTAGCACTAGCAAATGTAGGGTGTGCAGGAAAGGCTGTGGGTATAGGGTTAACTTATGAGACGTCACGAGCCCCCTTGCCTAGGTGATAAATATAAAGTGCACGATACATGTGGGGCCTGTTTTCTACTTTTTCTTGAGAGAAGGGAGCAAGGCCACAGCGATTTCTTTGAGTGTGGGAGTAGGCGAGCAAAGTATCTGGCGTGTAAACAGTTTTATCGTTACCATGTCAGGGTTCTCCAAGCTTTTTTATTATAGCATGGTGGGTGCTGCCTTTACGGTCCTAGTTGCAAATCGCCGAAGGCGGTTTGCGTGCTAGGGGGGTCCGGGGGCTATGATATTTAGCATGGCGGCTATGATATTTAGTAATAGAGTGGCGGGTGCATTTTAAGATGGCGGGGCTCGACGATAGCCTGACAGGCCGCCAGGCTATAAGTGCTCTTGGAAAACCCTGCATGTAAACGAAAGCGAGATGGGGGTTGTTGTAGTGGTTGCTGGTGTATGGGCGATTGCGTTGAAGTAGAAGTCAGTACTCATCTTGCGCGAGTATTTTCTATGCAGGTTGGGTACGCATTACAGATTGATGGCGGGCAGAGTGTACTAAGCCGTGGCACAGTCAGCCGGGGAAGGGCGAAGCTTCCATCTGAATGAAGTTAGCATGTCAGAGGCAGATGTAGAGCAGGGAGCGAGGTAGAGGGGGCGACGAGACTACACGACTGTCTAGCAGCGAGGCTAGCATGTGCATAGCTGGAGTGAGGTGTTTCATACGCGTGAAGCCATCGGAGAGTAAGCAAGTTTTCGGAGTGGTAGCAGCGCTCAGGAAGCCGAGGGCTGAGGCACGGACCGTCGGTCTTATGACCGGATAGTTGGAGCAGGCATGAGGAATGGGGGCTACCGCCGGGCAGAAGATGAATTGTTAAAGATCGCCATATTTGGTTCCCAGGTGCCGGATGCAAGCCAGTAAGGACTGCAGGAGAGAGTGAAGATTCACACCTCTGTGTAGCAGGCGCAGGCATTGCAGGGAGTATCTAGTCTATAGACATGCTTGCCCCCCAAGTGACTTGGGGGAGCAAGCATGTCTATACTCCCTGCAATGCCTGCACCTGAAGTGGTGGCTTCCTAAGTAACTGGGCGGGAGGCATGGCAGGTAGGCAATGGCATGTGCACAGTGTAAACTCTTCGGATTGTTAATGGCTGCACGTTACGTTCGCTGCTTTCTGGTGACTCACTTCACTAAAGAGCTCCTCGATCGCTGCTCAGTGAAGAACTGTTAGCAGAGCCACAACAGTGGCATTAGAGAACATAGAACCTGCCTTTCACAACGCTGACGTTGAGTCTATTTAGCGACGTAAGCAGGGGACGAATTTCATGGGAGTTTTTATAGTTTTTACCAATCATGCCACAATCTGTGCCATTGCTGACAGGTGACTAAGTTGACTCCGTTGCTGACGGAGTTAAATAGCACTGTTAATCCTGTACATATGCATTTTGCAGTGGAAACACATGAGCGCATATCAGAGTACAAATAAGCAGTTTGTCCTTAATGTAAAACATTAACAGTCTGACAAGAAATGCCCTAGCTGTACATGAAGAAGGAACAACGCATTTTATGAGAAAGAGTTATTAATGCCTTACTTGTCCTTACTATAGAACAGGTTATACTACTCTCTCTCTCACTACCCCCTCTCTCTTCCTATTTTCCCCCTCATTTCTCCCTCTCTCACTCAAACGGGCACACAGTGTAGTGACACACGCACAAACACACTCAAGATGTACTACAATTTTGGAAGTCCTCTGCTAAATTAGCAGAATGTTAGGTCTTAATTGCTAGCAGAAGACTTTAGTAAATGAAGCGCTGTGAAATGATCACGGGGGACTTATTGTCCCCCAAAAGTTACATGCTACTGTGCAGGGAACTTTAGTAAATGAAGATTGGTTCACATCTCTGCAGATCTTCGGTTCTCAAGTAAGCAACTTTGGGAAATAGTGGAGCACTTTTAGCGCACAGGGCTGCACGAAGGCTCGCTGCGCATGCAGTAGCAACATGTAACCACATGATAATAATGATAATAATCATGACATGGATTGATGATAAGCTGCGAAGGCTCGGTTGTGCATTTATCCAAAACCTTAACTGCACACATAGAAATTATAATAGCTTATTTCTGATGGCAAGTAGCATGCATTGTGGAATATACATATATATATGTATGATAGAGCGCTATATTCATGAATTGTCTGTTTGTCAGTGCAGTTGTACAACTCCCTTTCAGGTTAAAATGAACATCTCTCAAATAAATCGAGAAATTAACAAATGTAGGCAAATTTAGTCTCAGCTGTCAGCATACACAATACGGATTACTAAATAGCATAAAAATTACTATGAGTTTCTGCTGCTATAGACTATAGATAGACAAACATGAAATATACAAACGCTGCCACAAAATAAGTGCACGTAGATACATGATGTAACCGGCACCTATATCGACATGACGTATACAAACTGAAAGGTAACAGTGTAGAGACAGGGTACCAGCCAATGTCATCTCGGGAGAGCGAGAATCACGACAAGTGATGATGACATAATGTAATGAAATCTAATTCGAAATGCAGATCAGTGCACAAAGAAAGATGTGCAAGTGTTCTATGACATGATACCCTTACTATATATACACTTGGTGTTATGCAAGGAGTACTGGTAACTGTCAAAACAGTGAGTCAATAAAATACGAAAACAGTTGGAAGAACATGTGAAATCCTTGTTTTTAAACAGAAATGTCGTGGGTTATATGCCTGTCAGTCATAATAGCACTTGTAGGGTTGCAGGCATGCAGGGTGTGAAGTTCAACCTTTGCCTAATCAATGAACGCTTCTGTCCCCAACCTTACCCAGTTGGGTGAGCTCTAACTCTAAGAAAAACTCCCTTTCTATTCCATAAGGGGTCCTACACTACCTGGGGTAGGTAGGAAGGTCCGGGGAAGAAACATACACAACACTAAGGTTAGGGGTTCAAGGGTAAACACGCATGTTACACATTGTTGAATTAGGTGTAGTTCAATCGTGAAGGCACTCCACACTTTCACATATTGTAAACGCACTGCACCCCTAATATAAGTGATGCTATCAATATCAGAGATTACAAGAATATCAGAACATTTGACCAATTTAGTGGTTTCAGTTAGTTATGGATACGTTGCAGTTTAAAAGTAGTTACTGGAGATATTTGACAGACACATTCGCTGTCACCCATTTCAGGCACACGTGTTTGATATAAAAACGTGAAGAGTATAAAAACGGTGATTTCTCCGTTACTAACTCTGTCATTATAACTTTCTTGTAATTTAATTTCATGCTCTTTCAGACGGTCTTCTTAATGGTAATTAACACATTACTGTAAAAAAATGTGTCAGGGGCTTACAAGTCATGGTTCTGTATTTGTTTAAAAATGTAGTCACAGCAATCAGCATACCAATGAATTAGTGGCTATAAAGGCAAACGAACACTCTTGAGAGTTGTCTTTATTCAAGTCGTCGGCAGGTCACCAGATGTACGCGACTTTAATAAATTATGACGACAGACGTTATGTAATTAATGTCTCGCAAGATTCAAAATTCAAATATGTTTATTTGTGCATACGACATACACACATACAGTGTACAATGGAAGATATGAGAATGACAGGTAACAATACATGATTTGATAGATGAAGCACGGGGGTGGCGTAGGACCCGAAGGTCATCAAAGTCTGCCACCCTAAAGAGAGGGGGAACGGGTATTTTCGGGACGCGGGATTCGCCATTTTAATTACCTGGGAACTGGGAAATGTCAGATAAATTCCGTGATTCGGGAACAGAAGTCCATCAGAACGTGGGAAAGACCCTCTAAAATTGTCTGGGATCTGGGAAAATTGTGTCAATTCGTCAGGATTTCAATTTCTGCGCTAACATTGATTTTATTTTTTATTAATTATGCCCAGATAAATAATACTAATACTAATAGTATGTAAATATTAGTATTTATGTAGTGTTTGAAAACCTAAACTACTGAATTTCCTGAAACATGTCTACATAATTTCCTGGGAACAGGGAATTGGGTTTTATTTTACTGGGAACTGGGATATATGAGGTGTTTTTTTGCTGGGAAAGTGGGAATGTACCCCCCCTCCCCGCTAAAGAAAGTGTTTTATGCACTCTCGTAGGCCTACCTGGTAGTGGTAGTGGTACCGTACCCTCGCGTACTTTAGTTTGGAGAGAAGAGTTCACTTTGTTCTGTTCAGTTCGATCGAGGGCTTTTACGATAATTATCCTGACTTTATCAGAACTAATTAAATTTACGACGAGTAACCGGCTAATAGTAATACTATCAGTGCCTACTAAGCACTGTTTGGCACAGCTACTAGTACTAGTACTAGAAGTAGAAGTAATGCGTAAGAGGACTTCCATATTACATTTTACAAATATGTATAATGTAGGCCTATTTACCAAAAATAATCGAGGATTACCGGTTAGAATAGTAGTACGTACCTACAGAATTACCAGTGAAGAAGATGTTTCGAATGTAGACGAAAACAAAAACGTTATTACCTTATCAGGTACATGCAACACTTGTCAAATATACCTTGAGATTTAGAGCAAACGTAAGAACCTTGTGTAGCAAGTTTGTACGTTGTCAATGTATTTTACAATGCTATTTCAAATTTGGTGTTGGCAATGAATATACGGCGCGCATTGGACACTAATAGTCACGTGGATGTTGGCTAAAACGAGAGAACATTCTAGAAGATGGCCGCCGTGTGTGTTGCTGTTATATCTAAAGAGGTTTGCGTTCGCTTTAATCTTTAATCTTTAATCTTTAACCTGACCGACCTGTATTAAATATAATCAATGATTAAATCATGTATCGTACGTATGCATGTATATGCTGCAGCGTTACTAACACGCCGACCACAGGCACTTGGAGTTGGAACGTCTCAATAAAAAAAAGAGGAAATAAACACGAAATGTATTTACTAGGCCTACCATTACCAAAGTCTTAATGTTTCTCTACTCTATTTTGCCTATTATATTGCCGATAATTACCCGTAAATGCCGGTCAAATGCTCATCTGCAACACACAAGTACAACGCACGCCCGCCTTGTGCACAAACATTCACTCAATAAGAGAGCAGGTAGGAAATCGCAAAATTCGCTCGACACTCGCTTCATTTCACACGATTACAGAACGAAAAGACAACAAACAGCCTCCATATTGGTAGCTCTAGTACTATTGCGTACAGTTGCCGCAGAGATATAGGACATTCTATTTCGAATGCTAGGGACCAACTTATTCACGGTTACTCGTAGCTATAAAATGTCTGTGGTAGTGGTAGGCAATTAATGCCTCTTATCCGAAGTGAATATGTCTTAAGTTATATCCCAAACTAAAATTTACCCTCTATCGTTGAAATGGTCTGCTTGCGGTATTTCTTGTGAACGAACCTTCGATTTACGAACTTCAAACGGTATCGGTATATTGGTATCTATGTGTAGCTAAATGTTCACTTGTTTGAATTATAAATCTGTCCTTTGTTCTTACCTACTCCCGCCAGAGATATCTCGTTAAATCCTGCAGGAAAATGTAAACCGGACTTATCATCCAAAAATCCCCAACCGCGCTACTCAATCTTTCGACCAATCACTGTAGTCGTCAGGCTTCTCCCTACGTTGCGCAAACCGGGTGCCCCCGCTCCGTTTGGGAACCCCCCCCCTGTTTCAATAGTTGCGCCACGTTTAAATTATTTCCGCCCCGATTAAAAAAAAATTCAAAAAATTTTCAAAATGGGAATGGCTACATGAGGAACAGGCTGAGTGAGTCAGCTTTGGAGGCGCTGCTGCTACTGGCAGTTGAGGGGCCACCTCGGCAAGAATTCTCATTCGACCCACTGGCAGCAAGAACAAGTCCGCACCTGCAGCTACAGCACACACGCATCTATTGACTATATATAACAACGTTATATATAGTTGTTATAGTATTTATAGTTGTTAGCTCATCTGACATAGTCAGATGCAGCTTGTAGAATCGCATGATCGTCCGTCCGTCCGTCCGTCCGTGCGAGCGTCCGTGCGTCCGTCTGTCCGTCCGTCCGTCAACAGTTGGGCACAAATCTTAACCGCTCGACGTACGGTCACGATATTCGGGACGTGGGGGGGTAATCCGAAAACGAGTTGGGATGTCGAAGCTGGGGGTCAAAGGTCAAAGGTCAAGAGGTGTAAAAGAAGGGGGAACATTCCTTCCTTAACTTAAGGTATAGGGAGGAAATGCAGAATTGCGGCACAAATCTAAACGGCTCGACCTAGGCTCGTGATAGTCGGTGTATAGCATCATGGTAGGAAAAGCCATCACTGTGCCGATCAATACAATGACTCTAGTGGCTATAAAGGCAAACGAACACTCTTGAGAGTTGTCCTGTTATTCAAGTCCGTCGGCAGGTCACGCAGATGTAGCGCGAGCTTTAAGTAATATGAACGACAGACGTTATGTAATTAATGCTCGCAAGATTCAAAACTTCAAATATGTTTAATTTGTGCATACGACATACACACATAGCAGTGTACAATGGAAGATATGAGACATCGTACAGGTAACAATACATGATTTGATAGATGAAGCACCGGGGGTGGGCGTAGGGACCCGGAAGGTCAGCAACAGTCTGCCACCCTAAGAGAGGGGAACGGGTAATTTTCGGGACGCCGGGATTCGCCCAGTTTTAATTACTGTGGAACTGGAATGTCAGATAATCGTGATTCCGGGAACAGAAGTCCATTCAGACGTGGAAAGACCCTCTAAAATTTCTGGATCTGAGGAGAAATTCGTGTCAATTCGTGTCGAGGATTTCAATTTCTGCGCTAACATTGAGTAAATTTATTCTTTCTTAATTTTTTTATTAATTATGCGGCAGATAAATAATACTAAATATAATAGTAGGTAAATATTAGTGATTTATGTATGTGTTTGAAAACCTAACTACTTGAATTCCTGAACACATTCTCAGTAGTATAGTGCTACATAATTTCCTGGGTAGCTGGGAGAATTGGGATTTTATTTACTGGGAACTGGGATATGAGGTGCTTGTTTGTGGTAAAGTGGGAATCGTAACCCCCCCTCCCGCTAAAGAAAAGTGTTTTATGCACTCTCGGTAGCCCTACCTGGTAGTGGTAGTGGTACCGTACCTCCGCAGTACTTATTGAAGAGAAGATTCACTTTGTTCCTGTTCAGTTCGATCTGACGGGCTTTTTACGATACTTATCCTGACTTGTAGTCAAGAACTAATTAAATTTAGCGGACGAGTAACGCGGCTAACTAGTATAAACTATCAGTGCCTACTACCAGCAGCTGTTTTGGCAGCAGCTAACTAGTAACTGAGTACTAGACAGTGAAGTAATGCGTAAAGAGTACTTCCATATTACATTTTACAAATATGTATAATGTAGAGCCCTAGGCCTATTTACAAAAATAATCGAGGATTTACCGGTTAGAATATAGTACGTACCTACAGCAATTACCAGTTGAAGAAGATGTTTCGAATGTAGACGAAAACAAAAACTTATTACCTTATCAGGTAACATGCCAACACTTGTCAAATATACCTTGAGATTTGCGAGCAAACGTAAGAGACCTTGAATGTAGCATAGTTGTGGTACGTGTTGTCAATGTAATTTTACAATGCTATTCAATTCGGTGTGCATGAATATACGGCGCGGCATTGGACACTAATAGTCACGTGGTATGTTGGCTAAACCGAGAGAACTTTAGCAAGATGGCCGCGCGTGTGTTGTTGCTGTTATTAAGAGCCGTTTGCGTTCGCTTAATCTTTAATCTTTAATCTTTTAACTCTGACCGACCTTATTAAATATAATCATGCATTAAATCCATGTATCGCTAACGTATTGCCATGTATATGCCTGCCGCGTTAACTAACACCCGACCACAAGCACTTGGAGTGTGAACGTCTCCTCAATAAAACAAAAGTAGGAAAGTAAAAACAGAAAGGACGTGTGATATTCGTACCGACAGGGTTTCGTCTATATTCAGGCCGCGTACATGGAGAATAATTGCATATTTTTGTCACGCTGGTTTTGGTGTATACACCAATCAGATGAAATCGCGCGTGGGAGAGAGAGTGGGGAGAAGGTGAGAGAGAAGGGAGTGGATGAGGGGGGAAGGCTGGTGAGAAGGAGGAGGGAGCAAGCTGGTGGAGAGGTGGTGGAGAAGGTGCAGGGAGGTTGCCTCTCGCCTGGCACCACCTTCTCCCTTCCTCCACAGCTTCTCCTTCTTCCCTTTTCATTCTCCACCAGTGCTCCCCCTCTCCTTCTCCACCAGCTTCTCCCTCCTGCCTTCTCAGACCACCTTTTCCCTCTCCCTTCCTCTTTACTCCATCAGCTTCTCCCATCGCTTCTCACACTAGCTTCTCCCCCTCCTCCACACACCTTCTCCCTTCTCCCTCCTCCTTCCTCCACCAGCTTCTCCCTCCTCTTTCTCCACCCAGCCTTCTCCGCTTCTCCCCTTCCTCCTTCTCCCAGCTTCTCCGCTCCTCCTTTCCCCCACCGTTCTCCCTTCTCCCCTTCCTCCTCCTTCACCATCTTCCTTCACAGCTGAAAGTGACCGGTCACGAACACGCGATTACATCCTGAGGGTTTACACCAAAACCACGTGATAAATATGCAAATTATCTCTTGTACGGCCTGAATATAGACGAAACCCGTGCCGAGCATCGGACACCTGTTCGTATGCGCTATATCGTCGGCGAGATTGCCTGCGCATGCGCGTGTTCATGTTGTATTACAAAATGTAATTAATGCTAGTGCTAGGGAGTATTCTATTCTACACCCTAACTCTAACCTAACTCTAATACTAACCCATGGTTTAACCACAATCTAACCCTACCACTAATTATTATCCCACTCGGTTCGCTTATAGTAATATAGGCGAATGATAGTACCAAACACTATCTATGGTGTATAACCGATACCAACGCATGTATCAGGGGCGTCACAGCGTAGGCTGCGTAGCAAAAACGCAAGGCAAAAAGCTTAAAGGCGTCACAATGCGCATGCAAACCTAATTTCTCCAGTACTTAGACTAGCAAATTACTTTCGTGTCATGCATAATCATACTACCTTATGGCAAAATAAACTCTAAGCTTGCCTCCCCATTCCTGCGCGCTTGTCTTATAAAGGTATTTTGAAAATACCTCCAATGTGAATTTTGAATTCTCGATGTTGTGTGACCAGTTTCCCATCTCCAAGCAACCGTGCAGCCGGTGGCCGCGTACAGCGGTTCCGCGTTACAGCGTACGCGCAGCAAAGATAAAACATGTGACGCTCACGTCACCACTTCGAGGCTATTTTTGTTTGGATCAACAGATCGGCGTATTCGCGCCAGATGCCATTTTCTCACCTCTTTCTTGTGTTTTAAGCAAACGCCAGTAAATGGTGGAAAGCACTAGAGTTTATTTTTGTCATAAGGTTAGTGTTGATATGCTGACACGAAGTATTTGCTAGTCTAGGTACTGAGAAATTAGCATTTGGATGCGCATTGTAAGCCTTTAAAGGGCAAAATATCATAAATCTAAAGGGTAAATAACATTTTAGAGCATCTAGATTTAAAAATTGTCTGGGGAGAGACCCCCAGACCTCCCTTCACACTGCGCTATTTCCGTGTACTTAGAGGCCGTGCGCTGCGGCCATGCTACATCAACAGCGCGTGCTCGGATGCTCAGACGAATATCCACGTCGAAACACGAAATGTATTTACTAGTACCATTACCAAAGTCTTAATGTTTCTCTAATCTCTATTTGTACCTTTATTATATTGCCGATACATTTACCCGTAAATGCCGGTCAAATGCTCATCCTGCACACCACCAAGTACAAACGCACGCCACGCCTTAGACCGAATAATTTCTGTCCCATGTTAACCTTTTTATTATATTTGATCACTGAGAGTTATTTGGACAGAACGGGTTTATTGAAAATTTCGTGAGATCGCGATGCAAAATGCCATGCGCTGCTAATGCGGCTCGTATCGCCGCTTATTCCGCGGAAAAAAAACCTACCGTTTCCTCTACACAGGTCGTTAGCGCGGGGTCTTCATTATAAGTATCAAGTACTTATTTGCCAAAAATAAAATAGTAGGCCCTTATTAGTACTTTTTTTGTTGAAATTTGTGAAGAAAGTACTTATAGTCCTTATTTTTGGCCAAGGACCACTTTTTCGACATTTTCTGTTGTTTGAATTTCGAGCGCAAATTTACGGCTTTTTCATGAAAAGATCTCGGGTTTGTCACATCGATCGCTGAATGCGAAGTTTGTTGTTCTGTGATTAGTGTACTTATTGTTTGTATCAGAATCCCGTAAAAAAGTCTTATTTTGGCTCAAAGGGCTCTCATATACATGCTCTTATTGCCAACGATGTGTTTTACTACTATGAACCCCTGGTGCTAACCTGGCTTTACCCTTGCTCTTGATATATCCATGTATCTTCATCTCACTCACAATCGTTAGTTATTTCTTAAAAGACTGTTTTTCAGAACCCCGTTCCACATCTAACCTTAGTCAATTTACTTGGGCCATTTAACAACAATCGACACTCCAGAGCGCGCGTCTTCAATAGCCCTCGCGTTCTCGTGGTATCTGTGGGCGGCTGCAGGAGCCTGATGGGACTCGCGCTTGAATTGGTCCGAAGTTGTTTGTAAAATGGCCAGACATATTTACTAACGTAATGAAGCGGGATGTTTCCTGAAAACAATCTTGTAGAGAAGTAAAATGATTGAAGTGAATGTATACGACATACGTTCAGTCAGCAGGTACAGACCATGTAGAAGCGGAAACGTAGTTTTTTTTCGGCAACCAATAGGCAGGGAGTCCGCATTAGCACGCGTCATGCATGTATCGCATGGCACAATCTCACAAATTTCAATGAAACCCTCTTCCGCAATAACTCTCACCAAAATATTAAAAAAGGTTATTATGGGACAGAATTATCGGTGCTAGCCCGCCTTGTGGCACAAACATTCACCTCAAAAGAGAGGCAGGTAGGAAATCCGCAAAATTCGCTCGACAACGTCGCTTACGTTTCCACACGATTAACAGAACGAAAGACAACGAAAACAGCCGTCCATATTGGTAGCTCTGGTAACCTATTGGGTTCAGTCTGCCGCCAGAGAATAGGACAATTCTATTGTTCGAAGTGCTAGGGACCAACTTATTTCATCGGTTACTCTGTAGCTATAAAATGGTTCTGTGGTAGTGGTAGGCAATTAAATGCCTCTTATCCGAAGTGAATATGTCTTAATTATATCCCAAACTAAATTTACCCTCTATCGTTTGAAATGCGTCTGCTTAGGCGTATTTCTGTGAACGAACCTATGATTTACGAACTTCAAACAGGCGTATCGGTATACTTGGTATCGTATGTGTAGCTAAATGTTCACTTGTCTTGTAATCTATAAATCTGTCGTTGTTCACTTAGCCTTACTCCCGCCAGAGATATTCGGTTAGAATCTGCAGAGAATGTAAACCGACTTATTCATCCCAAAAAATCCCACCGCCGCGCTAACTCCAATCTTTCGACCAATCACTGTAGTCGTCAGGCTTCTCCCTACGTTGCGCAAACCGGGTGCCCCGCTCCGTTGTGGAACCCCCCGTTTCAATAGTTGCGCCACGTTTAATTATTTCCGCCCGATTAAAAAAAAATTCAAAAAATTTTCAAAATGGGAATGGCTACATGAGGAACAGGCCTGGAGCTGAGTCAGCTTTGGAGGCGCTGCTGCTACTGGCAGTGAGGGGCACCTCGCAAGAATTCTCATTCGACCCACTGGCAGCAAAAACAAGTCCGCACCTGCAGCTACAGCACACACGCATCTATTGACTATATATAACAACGTTATATATAGTTGTTATAGTATTTATAGTTGTTAGCTCATCTGACATAGTCAGATGCAGCTTGTAGAATCGCATGATCGTCCGTCGTCCGTGCCGTCCGTGCGAGCGCGTGCGTCCGTTGGTCCGTCCGTCCGTCAACAGTTGGGCACAAATCTTAACCGTCGACGTACGGTCACGATATTCGGGACGTGGGGGTAATCGAAACACGAGTTGGGATGTCGAAGCTGGGGGTCAAAGGTCAAGTCAAAGGAGGTGTAAAAGAAGGGGACATTCCTTCCTTAACTTAAGGTATAGGGAGGAATATGCAGAATTGCGGCACAAATCTAAACGGCTCGACCTAGGCTCGTGATAGTCGGTGTATGCATCATGGTAGGAAAAGCCATCACTGTGCCGATATTGGAGGTCACAGGTCAAGGTCAATGGGGCACAGGCAGATTTTAGACATTTTCTGAGGACATGGTGTGCGCGAGCGATTGAAAACTTTTTTGTTTCAGCGTGACCTACCATTTTTCATGGCCTTTATTGAAAGGACCATGAAATATGCTTTCCACTGACGTGCGAAGAGTAAGTGTCTGATAACCTTTTGACGCTTCAAGAGAGGAGGGTAGAACATGGATTTGTTGACTGTTAACAAAAGGAGTGAACTGCTTTTGCTATTAGAAGCCCCCTCCCCCACCCTTCCCCTCCCCCGCCCCTTCCCCCCACCTCTCCCCACCCTCACCCCTCCCCACCCTCCCTTCCCTCTCTCTGCATTATAGTGGGCATGTCCTAACAATGATGTGTTACGCAACTGCGTGTCTGCATATCTGCGCCTAACAATGTGGTGCTACGTCACGACTGAATTTTACGTTGTATAACCGTAGCAACAGACCTCGAGATGACCCAAGACGACTCTGGCGGCTCTTGTTATAGTAGCTATAGTTGTTATAGTAGTTATAGATAACTATATATAATGTTGTTATATATAGTCAATAGATGCGTGTGTGTTGTAGCTGCAGGGCGGACTTGTTCTTGCTGCAGTGATTCGACCAGGCCCCCGGACCCCCCTAGTTTCCCCTCCCCTCCCCCTCCCCCTCCCCGCTGTTTCAATTTCTATCTGGGGACGA